AGGGGGTGGGAGGGGATTTGGGGGGGATTTGAAGGGGATTGGGGGGGTTGAGGGGGGATTTGGGGAGTATGGAGGGTTTGTGGTGGTGGGAGGGGTTTGGAGGGGGATTTGAGAGGGATTTGGGGGAGTTTTGGGGCAATTGGAGGGGGGTTAGGAGAAAGCTCCCAGGGGCCTCTTTTTGGAGGGGGGGCTCAGGCAAAGGGGTTTGAGAACCCACATTTGGGGCCGAGGGGCTTTTGGGGGGTAATTTGGGGAGGAGTCTGACCCCCGGGAACCTCCTCACCCCCAGCCTGTCCCCCCACTCGCGGCTCAACCCCCACCGGAGCCCCCTCGGGACGGGAAACTACGACGTGAATGCCGTCATGGCTGCCCTGGGCACCCTGGGGCTGGCGGCCGTCTGGTGGGACAAGAGACGGTGAGACCCCTCCCCAAATTAGGGATACACCCCCCGGGACCCCCCCCAATTCGGGGAACCCCCCTGGGAAACCCCTCAATATGAGAAACCTCCCCCTCCCCAGAGACCCCCAACCCCAAATTCGGGATCTCCATAAACCTCCCCCTTCCCCGGGGGTGTGGTGGGACAAGAGAGGGTGGGACCCCTCCCCAAATTCGGGGGGGAGCACCCCGGGACCCCCCCAGTTCAGGGAAACCCCCTCCAGTTTGGGGAACCCACCCCCAATTCAGGGAACCCACTCCCAGAGACCCCTACCCCAATTCAGGATCCGCCTTCCCCTGGGGTTTGGGGCTGTTTGGTGGGACAAGAGATAGTGAGACCCCTCCCCAAATTAGGGACAGACCCCTCGGGACCCCCCGTAATTTGGGGAACCACCCTGGGAACCCCCCAGTATAGGAGCCCCCCCCCTCCAGAGACCCCTGACCCCAATTCAGGATCCACCTTCCCCTGGGGTTTGGGGCTGTCTGATGGGATAGAAGACAGTAGGACCCCTCCCCAAATTAGGGACACACCCTGGGACCTCCCCCAATTCGGGGAACGCCCCTGGGAACCCCCCCAGTTTGGGAAATCCACCCCCAGAGACCCCCTACCCCAATTCGGGACCTCCCAAACCTTCACCTTCCCCTGGGCACTGGGGGGACAAGAGACGGTGGGACCCCTCCTCAAATTAGGGACACACCCCTCGGGACCCCCCCCAATTTGGGAACCTCCCCCAGAGACCCCCGACCCCAATTCAGGACCTCCTACATCTCCACCTTCCCCTGGGGTCTGGTGGGATAAGAGAGGGTGGGACCCCTCCCCAAATTGGGGACAAACACCCCAGCCCCCCCCCAATTCGGGGAAGCCCCGTGGGACCCTCCCAATATGGGAAATCCACCCCCAGAGACCCCCGACCCCAATTCAGGATCCACCTTCCCCTGGGGACTGGGGGGATAAGAGAGGGTGGGACCCCTCCCCAAATTCGGTGGAGGGGTCCCCCCACACCATGTGAC